AGAACTGAACTAGAACTGAACTAGAACTGAACTTAAACTGAACTAGAACTGAACTAGAACTGAACTAGAACTGAACTAGAACTGAACTAGAACTGAACTAGAACTGAACTAGAACTGAACTAGAACTGAACTAGAACTGAACTAGAACTGAACTAGAACTGAACTAGAACTGAACTAGAAACTAGAACTGAACTAGAACTAGAACTGAACTAGAACTGAACTAGAACTGAACTAGAACTGAACTAGAACTGAACTAGAACTGAACTAGAACTGAACTAGAACTGAACTAGAACTGAACTAGAACTGAACTAGAACTGAACTAGAACTGAACTAGAACTGAACTAGAACTGAACTAGAACTGAACTAGAACTGAACTAGAACTGAACTAGAACTGAACTAGAACTGAACTAGAACTGAACTAGAACTGAACTAGAACTGAACTAGAACTGAACTAGAACTGAACTAGAACTGAACTAGAACTGAACTAGAACTGAACTAGAACTGAACTAGAACTGAACTAGAACTGAACTAGAACTGAACTAGAACTGAACTAGAACTGAACTAGAACTGAACTAGAACTGAACTAGAACTGAACTAGAACTGAACTAGAACTGAACTAGAACTGAACTAGAACTGAACTAGAACTGAACTAGAACTGAACTAGAACTGAACTAGAACTGAACTAGAACTAAACTAGAACTGAACTAGAACTGAACTAGAACTGAACTAGAACTGAACTAGAACTGAACTAGAACTGAACTAGAACTGAACTAGAACTGAACTAGAACTGAACTAGAACTGAACTAGAACTACTAGAACTGAACTAGAACTGAACTAGAACTGAACTAGAACTGAACTAAACTGAACTAGAACTGAACTAGAACTGAACTAGAACTGAACTAGAACTGAACTAGAACTGAACTAGAACTGAACTAGAACTGAACTAGAACTGAACTAGAACTGAACTAGAACTGAACTAGAACTGAACTAGAACTGAACTAGAACTGAACTAGAACTGAACTAGAACTGAACTAGAACTGAACTAGAACTGAACTAGAACTGAACTAGAACTGAACTAGAACTGAACTAGAACTGAACTAGAACTGACTAGAACTGAACTAGAACTGAACTAGAACTGAACTAGAACTGAACTAACTGACTAGAACTGAACTAGAACTGAACTAGAACTGAACTAGAACTGAACTAGAACTGAACTAGAACTGAACTAGAACTGAACTAGAACTGAACTAGAACTGAACTAGAACTGAACTAGAACTGAACTAGAACTGAACTAGAACTAAACTAGAACTGAACTAGAACTGAACTAGAACTGACTAGAACTGAACTAGAACTGAACTAGAACTGAACTAGAACTGAACTAGAACTGAACTAGAACTGAACTAGAACTGAACTAGAACTGAACTAGAACTGAACTAGAACTGAACTAGAACTGAACTAGAACTGAACGAACTAGAACTGAACTAGAACTGAACTAGAACTGAACTAGAACTGAACTAGAACTGAACTAGAACTGAACTAGAACTGAACTAGAACTGAACTAAACTGAACTAGAACTGAACTAGAACTGAACTAGAACTGAACTAGAACTGAACTAGAACTGAACTAGAACTGAACTAAACTGAACTAGAACTGAACTAGAACTGAACTAGAACTGAACTAGAAATGAACTAGAACTGAACTAGAACTGAACTAGAACTGAACTAGAACTGAACTAGAACTGAACTAGAACTGAACTAGAACTGAACTAGAACTGAACTAGAACTGAACTAGAACTGAACTAGAACTGATTTTTCCAAAATTCTTAAATTTTTAAATCTTTACGAATGTTTTATACACATTTTATTTGGTCTGTTTGCATTTAAAGCCGAAACCCAAGAACCAAAACGTATTTATTATATATTTTAGATTTATCCATGCCTCATATAAATTTACAGACGTACATATCATACCAGATATGTGTGTTTGTAAGTCCTTTATTTATCCCCACAAAATATTCGCACATTCCATGCAAACACATTCTCTCTCGTAAATTCATGCCCAGGAATCAGACATCAGGTGTTAAAGTCAATGTTAATTTAAGGCCTCTTAATTTATCATCCCTTCCACATGTAGCGAGTATTTGGCAGACCTGGGCGATTTCCATTATTTTGCATTAACATTAAATTAAAAAAAAATTAATTTAATGTAAAAAATATTGCATTAAACATTAAATTTTTAAAATTTAATGCATTAAATTTCCATTAACATTAAATATTTTTGAATTTAATGCATTAATTTTACATTACATTAAATATTTTTCAAATTAATGCATTAATTTTGCATTAACATTAAATATATCTGAAATTTAGTGCATTAATTTTACATTAACATTAAATAGCAATAAAATTAATGCATTAATATTCCATTAACATTAATATATTAAAAATTGATAAACATAAATAAAAATACAGCTCAAAAGACCTCGATCTAACTAAACAACTAAAATTAAATAGGTTAAAGTCCTTTCTAATAACTCCTATATTCCATTCAAACTTGTATGTTTAAATATGATATTTATATAAGATTCCACAGACAAAATAAACTAAAAAAGGAATATCTGGGAAGTGATATTATTCTTCTAATATATATTATCGAGTATAGGACTTATTAGAAAGAACTTAACAAAATAAACTAAAAATGGAATATCTGGGAAGTGATACTATTCTTCTAATATGTATTATCGAGTATAGGACTTATTAGAAAGGACTTTAACACATTCAATTTTACTTGAATTTTGTTAGACCGAGGTCTTTAGCGCTGTATTCTTATTTTTATAAATTATTTTATACATTAATGTTAATGGAAAATTAATGCATTAATTTTATTATTTATTATTTAATGTTAATGGAAAATTAATGCATTAAATTCAAAAATATTTAATGTTAATGCAAAATTAATGCATTAATTTCACAAATATTTAATGTTAATGTAAAATTAATGCATTAAATTTAAAAATATTTAATGTTAATGCAAATTTAATGCATTAAATGTACCCATGTTAATGTTAATGCAATAAACTTGCATTAACATTAATTTTTTTTAATGTAGAAAAAATTGTTAATGCATTAACACATTTAATGCATTTATCCCAGGTCTGGTATTTGGTAGAACTTTTCTTTTCACAGCTATTTTTTGTGTTTCATGGGAAAGAGGTGGGCAATTGTACGATGTTTAAGGGTTTGAGTATAAAGGGAAAGTTGTAGACTGTAGGATGTTGTTTGGCTTTTATTGAGCTACTTGTTTTTATGTTACTAATACACACACATACAGTTTTTTCAGATTTTTTGTTTTTTTTGTTCAAAGTGTTGATAATTTAAGTTTAATTTGCTGATGTTGTTACAATTTTATATACTACCGCTAGAGAAAGTGTTACACTGCCCTTAAAGCTGGCTAGATTTAAATATGACATTTTAGCTTTGTTGATAATATTCGGCCTTTTCTGATTTACATGTCCTAATATCATTATTCCGAGAATCAAATGGTATCTACTTTCAAAGTCTTTAATTTTTACATTCGATGCTAGTGTAAACGATTTTCCACCTACAAAACCACATTAACACTCACGAGCACTTGGCCTTTAAACTTTCTCGTTTAAATTTGAAAAATGTATCTACAGACAACCACATAAACTCACTCACTCATCATAATTGTATGTTTGAAAAGATGTGTGTGAGAATGTATTGATTTTACACACAAATATTCACATACATCCCTCTGAATATGTTAAATATTGGCAAAACTTGTGGCTTCTTTTATTTATTTTACTTTAATGAGTTAAAATAAAGTAAAGGAAATTTCATTTAATGCTGACTTCAACAGTTCAGTTCTAGTTCAGTTCTAGTTCAGTTCTAGTTCAGTTCTTGTTCAGTTCTTGTTCAGTTCTAGTTCAGTTCTAGTTCAGTTCCAGTTCAGTTCTAGTTCAGTTCTAGTTCAGTTCTAGTTCAGTTCTAGTTTAGTTCTAGTTCAGTTCTAGTTCATTTCTAGTTCAGTTCTAGTTCAGTTCTAGTTCAGTTCTAGTTCAGTTCTAGTTCAGTTCTAGTTCAGTTCTAGTTCAGTTCTAGTTCATTTCTAGTTCAGTTCTAGTTCAGTTCTAGTTAGTCTAGTTCATTCTAGTTCAGTCTAGTTCAGTTCTAGTTAGTTCTAGTTCAGTTCTAGTTCAGTTCTAGTTAAGTTCTAGTTCAGGTCTAAGTTCAGTTTCTAGTTTCGGTTCTAGTTCGGTTCTAGTTCGGTTCTAGTTCAGTTTCTAGTTCCAGTTCTTAGTTCAGTTCTAGTTCAGTTCTAGTTCAGTTCTAGTTCAGTTCTAGTTCAGTTCTAGTTCAGTTCTAGTTCAGTTCTAGTTCAGTTCTAGTTCAGTTCTTTAGTTTTCAGTTCTAGTTCAGTTCTAGTTCCAGTGCTAGTTCAGTTTCAGTTCTAGTCAGTTCTAGTTCAGTTCTAGTTCAGTTCTAGTCATTCTAGTTCAGTTTCTAGTTCAGTTCTAGTTCAGTTCTAGTTCAGTTCTAGTTCAGTTCTAGTTCAGTTCTAGTTCAGTTCTAGTCAGTTCAGTTCAGTTTCTAGTTCAGTTCTAGTTCAGTTCTAGTTCAGTTCTAGTTCTAGTTCAGTAGTTCTAGTTCAGTTCTAGTTCAGTTCTAGTTCAGTTCTAGTTCAGTTCTAGTTCAGTCTATTCAGTTCTAGTTCAGTTTCTAGCTTCAGTCTAGTTCAGTTCTAGTTCAGTTCTAGTTTCAGTTCTAGTTCAGTTCTAGTTCAGTCTAGTTCAGTTCGAGTTCAGTTCTAGTTCAGTTCTAGTTCCGTTCTATTCAGTTCAGTCAGTTCTAGTTCAGTCTAGTTCGTTAGTTCAGTTTCTAGTCCAGTTCTAGTTCAGTTCCTGGTTCAGTTCTAGGTCTAGTTCATTTCCAGTTAATTTTGGTTCTGGTTTCCAGATCTGTTCAAAAATTATAAAGCACTTTTACTATTTTTCACTTCGTTAAAAATTCTTTATTGATTCAAATCCTTTCAATTCATTAATCTATTTCTTCAACAAAAGAGGAGCGGCAACAGGGGCGGCGTGTACAACGGGGGTGGCAGCATAAGCGGCACGTACACTGGAGCGGCAGCATAAGCGGCTGGGAAGGCAGCAGAGTGGGCAACAGTGTGGGCGTTGTATGTGGAGGCGTAAGGAGCTACGTAAGAAGCATGGCCAACAACAGCGGGAGCAGCGGCATAAGCCAAAGGAGGCAGAGTAAGCCAAGGGAGCAGTGTAAGCCAAGGGAGCAACAACACCGGGTTTAGCAGCGGCAACAGCCAACAAAGCGAAGAAGCAGACGGCGATCTGAAAATAGAAATAAATAATATTTAGTTTTCTTTCCATCGAAATTTTATTTGTGTGAAAACTTACGAAGTTGAACATTTTGTTAAGTTTTGTGTTTAGATGTACAATCTGTAATTGTTATCGTGGGTTTCAAAGATCAGGCCTTTTATACCCAAACATAAGTTGGGCAAGTTGTTGTCTTAAGCGTTATTATTTCAAACATGTCACGTCTTTAAAAGTTCATTAATTAAAATTTCATGATATAGAAAGATAAACAAAACTGTTTTTAACAAAAAAACAGGGTTTCTTGGATAATGCGGACTTCAATGTATAGAAATCAATGAATCAGGAAAACGTTCTATTACCTCCAAAAACCAGGACTATTTCAGCGTCAGTTTCTATTTTCTTATTATTTGCTTAACGTTATAGTTGAATTCTAGTATTTTGCTTAAATTGTAAATTCATTCTAAAACTTTACATGTAAATATTTTCAAACTTTTGAATTAATTACTTTTAGACTTATTCCCCACCCACTTAAATAATATCATTTTAATTTAAGGGATGTTTCACTAAATTAATTTCTGAAAAAGTTTTCCAAAAGAAACCTTGTAATCTTATAACAGGAAGTGAAGTTGTTTGATTATTTGAATTAAACAAAACTTTCTATTTAATCTTAATCAATAAAACTTTACATTTCCGTTAATATGTATTTTGTTTTAAAAAAACCATAAAAAGTTTTCAAATGTATTATTTTAGCAGATTTCATATGTATTCATAGCTGTAATTTAACTTTGTCCAAGGTAGTTGATAAACGTAATAGAAATGATTTTTGTTTTTTTTTTATTAAGGCAGGTGAAGTTTTTTAATTATCTTGTTTGATGCAATAGTTTGGCTTTTTTGTTTGTTTGGTTTGATAAACAAAGTTTTTAGTTATGAAATTCAAAATTCATGTAAACGATAGTTATATGAATTAGGGTAGTACGCTATATCAGCATTTCACTAAAAAAATCGGAAATAAAAGGCCTATAGTTTAATACTAACTGGTTCAAGTTCTGTTCTAGTTCTGCTCTAGTTTTGTTCTATTTCTGTTCTAGTTCTGTTCTAGTTCTGTTCTAGTTCTGTTCTAGTTCTGTTCTAGTTCTGTTCTAGTTTCTAGTTCTGTTCTAGTTCTGTTCTAGTTCTGTTCTAGTTCTGTTCTAGTTCAGTTCTAGTTTCGGTTCTAGTTTCTAGTTCTGTAGTTCTGTACTAGTTTTCTGTACTAGTTTTCTAGTTTCTAGTTCTGTTCTAGTTCTGTTCTAGTTCTGTTCTATTCTGTTCGAGTTTCTGTTCTAGTTCTGTTGCTAGTTCTGTTCTAGTTCTGTTCTAGTTCTGTGTTCTAGTTCGGTTCTAGTTCGTTCTAGTTCTGTTCTAGTTCTGTTCTAGTTCTGTTCTAGTTCTGGTCTAGTTCTGTTCTAGTTCGGTTCTAGTTCTGTTCTAGTTCTGTTCTAGTTCTGTTCTAGTTTCTAGTTCTGTTCTAGTTCTGTTCAGTTCTGTGCTAGTTCTGATTCTAGTTCTGTTCTAGTTCTGTTCTAGTTCTGTTCTAGTTCTGTTCTAGTTCTGTCTAGTTCGTTCTAGTTCTGGTTCTAGTTCTGTTCTAGTCGGTTCTAGTTCTGTTCTTTCTGTTCTAGTTCGGTCTAGTTCTGTTCTAGTTCTGTTCTAGTTCTGTTCTAGTTCTAGTTCAGGTTCTGTTCTAGTTCTGTTCTAGTTCTGTTCTAGTTCTGTTCTAGTTCTGTCGGTAGAGTTCTGTTCTAGTTCTGTTCTAGTTCTGTTCCTAGTTCTGTTCTAGTTCTGTTCTAGTTCCTGTTCTAGTTGCTGTTCTAGTTCTGTTCTAAGTTCTGTTCTAGTTCTGTTCTAGTTCTGTTCTAGTTCTGTTCTAGTTTCTGTTCTAGTTCTTGTTCCTAGTTCTGTTCTAGTGATGTTCTAGTTCGTTTCTGTTCTAGTTCTGTTCTAAGTTCATGTTCTGAGTTCTGTTCTAGTTCTGTTCTAGTTCTGTTCTAGTTCTGTTCTAGTTCTGTCTAGTCTGTTCTAGTTCGGTTCTAGTTCTGTTCTAGTTCTGTTCTAGTTCTGTTCTAGTTCTGTCTAGTTCTGTTCTAGTTCTGTTCTAGTTCTGTTCTAGTTCTGTTCTAGTTCTGTTCTAGTTCTGTTCTAGTTCTGTTCTAGTTCTGTTCTAGTTCTGTTCTAGTTCTGTTTCTAGTTCTGTTCTAGTTCTGTTCTAGTTCTGTTCTAGTTTCTGTTCTAGTTCTGTTCTAGTTCTCTTCTAGTTCTCTTCTAGTTCTGTTCTAGTTCTGTTCTAGTTCTGTTATAGTTCTGTTCTAGTTCTGTTCTAGTTCTGTTCTAGTTCTGTTCTAGTTCTGTTCTAGTTCTGTTCTAGTTCTGTTCTAGTTCTGTTCTAGTTCTGTTCTAGTTCTGTTCTAGTTCTGTTCTAGTTCTGTTCTAGTTCTGTTCTAGTTCTGTTCTAGTTCTGTTCTAGTTCTGTTCTAGTTCTGTTCTAGTTCTGTTCTAGTTCTGTTCTAGTTCTGTTCTAGTTCTGTTCTAGTTCTGTTCTAGTTCTGTTCTAGTTCTGTTCTAGTTCTGTTCTAGTTCTGTTCTAGTTCTGTTCTAGTTCTGTTCTAGTTCTGTTCTAGTTCTGTTCTAGTTCTGTTCTAGTTCTGTTCTAGTTCTGTTCTAGTTCTGTTCTAGTTCTGTTCTAGTTCTGTTCTAGTTCTGTTCTAGTTCTGTTCTAGTTCTGTTCTAGTTCTGTTCTAGTTCTGTTCTAGTTCTGTTCTAGTTCTGTTCTAGTTCTGTTCTAGTTCTGTTCTAGTTCTGTTCTAGTTCTGTTCTAGTTCTGTTATAGTTCTGTTATAGTTCTGTTATAGTTCTGTTCTAGTTCTGTTCTAGTTCTGTTCTAGTTCTGTTCTAGTTCTGTTCTAGTTCTGTTCTAGTTCTGTTCTAGTTCTGTTCTAGTTCTGTTCTAGTTCTGTTCTAGTTCTGTTCTAGTTCTGTTCTAGTTCTGTTCTAGTTCTGTTCTAGTTCTGTTCTAGTTCTGTTCTAGTTCTGTTCTAGTTCTGTTCTAGTTCTGTTCTAGTTCTGTTCTAGTTCTGTTCTAGTTCTGTTCTAATTCAGTTCTGGTTCTGTTCTAGTTCTGTTCTAGTTCTGTTCTAGTTCTGTTCTAGTTCTGTTCTAGTTCTGTTCTAGTTCTGTTCTAGTTCTCTTCTAGTTCTGTTCTAGTTCTGTTCTAGTTCTGTTCTAGTTCTGTTCTAGTTCTAGTTCTGTTCTAGTTCTGTTCTAGTTCTGTTCTAGTTCTGTTCTAGTTCTGTTCTAGTTCTTTTCCAGTTCGGCTCTAGTTCTGCTTCTGTTTTGGTTCTATTCTGGTTCTAGTTCAGTAGTAGTTAAGTTCTAGTTACCTTCTAGTTAAGTTCTAGTTCACTTCTAGTTCAGTTCCAGTTTACTTCTAGTTCAGGTATAGTTCAATTATAGTTTGTTTCTAATTTCCTGACGGTTATCAGATTATAAATTTACTTACGTATTTGCAACGGTTTCCTTTATTATATATTTTCATAAAAAATTATAATTATTGCATTATAACTTACTTATTGATAATGATTCATTCTATTGGCACGTTTAACCCTATAAATAACATTGCATTTATTAGATTGTAAACCGCCTACCGGTATGAATGACCGTAGTAAAAATCCACTTGTCTAGAATTTTAAAAATCTACTATAGGTTTTACACTCTCCCTCACTTACTCATTCATTCAATGGCTGTATTATCGATTTGATTTTATAAGTATTTTTGGTTAAAATTACATTTAATTTTACTACACTTAAGTAAATGCACAAGGTCATGGTTAATTAATACATTGAAAATTTAAGTAGTAAAAAGGTAAATACTACTGCTTAAAGGTAGCTGCTGCTGTTTTGATTAAATGGATTAAAAGAATTAAAAAAAAACAAATTATCATAAAATGAAAGACGTGTTTGGCATAAGTAAGTTACTGATATATTAATATTTGTGGTCTTTTCTTAAGGCCTGCAATTTACGCATTAGCAAAAGTTTAAAAAATAGCTTTTGCGTTTTGTTTTTTTTTTCTTAAGTTTTTTGGCCTTTCGATCTAGAAAATTTAAAAAATTTTGATAATAAATAATTTTTCCTGCATTGATTTTAAAGCAAATCTTATTGAGGTTGGTATTTATTTAACACTTTAGATTTTATTCTATTTTGTCATAATTGAAATAATAATTCTATAAAAATCATGGCAATAATAACAAATGGGTCAATGTTAAAATTCTTCACATTTTTTACAAACTAAAATTTTGCAAAAATAATACAAAATATGCACATTGAGGAAGGTAATTGAGTGACATACTAACTAAACAAACCAATAAATGACTTGTTGAAATGCGACATTCAATCAATAATGGTGGCAGAGGTTCCCTAATTTTTGTTGAAAGATCTTATAAAAATCGATATGTTTTCTTAAACTGTTCTTAAACACTTTCTTTAATTGTTTAAATGTCTATCTTTTAATAATTAACAATTTCGTTTAAGAATCTCTGTTATGACAACTGCATAATACTCAACATTTTGTGGCCACTCACTCAATTAGTTAATATGCAGTGTGCATTTTTTGTGTAAATAAATCGAGTGTCAATAAATAATAACAAATTTGGTGTTGATAAACAAAGACAACTTAACTTGGTCAACATTTTAAATGTACACACAAAATAAAATTACAAAATTTTTCTGCATTCTTATTTTTGGTAAAAAACTAACGAATTAGATGCACTATTTCATGTTTTGTAATAACTTTCATATTTTAGTCAGTTCTTGTTCAGTTCTACTTCAGGTTTAGCTTAGCTTCAGTTCCGTTCTAGTTATGGTTTCCTATTTAGTCAGCTTTAGTTCTAGCTCACTTCTACTTCATTTAAAGTTCAGTTCTAGTTCAGTTCTAGTTCAATTCTAGTTCAGCTCTAGTTCAGTTCTAGTTCAGTTGTAGTTTAGTTGTAGTTCAGTTGTAGTTCAGTTCTAGTTCAGTTGTAGTTCAGTTGTAGTTCAGTTGTAGTTCAGTTGTAGTTCAGTTCTAGTTCAGTTCTAGTTCAGTTCTAGTTCAGTTCTAGTTCATTTCTAGTTCAGTTCTAGTTCAGTTCTAGTTCAGTTCTAGTTCAGTTCTAGTTCAGTTCTAGTTCAGTTCTAGTTCAATTCTAGTTCAGTTCTAGTTCAGTTCTAGTTCAGTTGTAGTTCAGTTCTAGTTCAGTTCTAGTTCATCTCTAGTTCAGTTCTAGTTTAGATCTAGTTCAGTTCTAGTTCAGTTCTAGTTCAGTTCTAGTTCAGTTCTAGTTCAGTTCTAGTTCAGTTCTAGTTCAGTTCTAGTTCAGTTCTAGTTCAGTTCTAGTTCAGTTCTAGTTCAGTTCTAGTTCAGTTCTAGTTCAGTTCTAGTTCAGTTCTAGTTCAGTTCTAGTTCAGTTCTAGTTCAGTTCTAGTTCAGTTCTAGTTCAGTTCTAGTTCAGTTCTAGTTCAGTTCTAGTTCAGTTCTAGTTCAGTTCTAGTCCAGTTCTAGTTCAGTTCTAGTTCAGTTCTAGTTCAGTTCTAGTTCTGTTCTAGTTCTGTTCTAGTTCTGTTCTAGTTCTGTTCCAGTTCTGTTCTAGTTCTGTTCTAGTTCTGTTCTAGTTCTGTTCTAGTTCTGTTCTAGTTCTGTTCTAGTTCTGTTCTAGTTCTGTTCTAGTTCTGTTTTAGTTCTGTTCTAGTTCTGTCCTAGTTCTGTTCTAGTTCTGTTCTAGTTCTGTTCTAGTTCTGTTCTAGTTCTGTTCTAGTTCTGTTCTAGTTCTGTTCTAGTTCTGTTCTAGTTCTGTTCTAGTTCTGTTCTAGTTCTGTTCTAGTTCTGTTCTAGTTCTGTTCTAGTTCTGTTCTAGTTCTGTTCTAGTTCTGTTCTAGTTCTGTTCTGGTTCTGTTCTAGTTCAGTTCTAGTTCTGTTCTAGTTCTGTTCTAGTTCTGTTCTAGTTCTGTTCTGTTCTGTTCTAGTTCTGTTCTAGTTCTAGTTCTGTTCTAGTTCTGTTCTAGTTCTGTTCTAGTTCTGTTCTAGTTCTGTTCTGTTCTAATTCAGTTCTGGTTCTGTTCTAGTTCTGTTCTAGTTCTGTTCTAGTTCTCTTCTAGTTCTGTTCTAGTTCTGTTCTAGTTCTGTTCTAGTTCTGTTCTAGTTCTGTTCTAGTTCTGTTCTAGTTCTGTTATAGTTCTGTTCTAGTTCTGTTCTAGTTCAGTTCTAGTTCAGTTCTAGTTCAGTTCTAGTTCAGTTCTAGTTCAGTTCTAGTTCAGTTCTAGTTCAGTTCTAGTTCAGTTCTAGTTCAGTTCTATTCAGTTCTAGTTCAGTTCTAGTTCAGTTCTAGTTCAGTTCTAGTTCAGTTCTAGTTCAGTTCTAGTTCAGTTCTAGTTCAGTTCTAGTTCAGTTCTAGTTCAGTTCTAGTTCAGTTCTAGTTCAGTTCTAGTTCAGTTCTAGTTCAGTTCTAGTTCAGTTCTAGTTCAGTTCTAGTTCAGTTCTAGTTCAGTTCTAGTTCTGTTCTAGTTCAGTTCTAGTTCAGTTCTAGTTCAGTTCTAGTTCAGTTCTAGTTCAGTTCTAGTTCAGATCTAGTTCAGATCTAGTTCAATTGTGGTTAAGTTCTAGTTAAGTTCCTCGAATGTTAAATAAAAAGCCAATTGCTATTTTCAGTTTTCATTTACTCTTTATTCAAATCCATTTCTCTGATCTATTTCTTCAAAAAAAGAGGTGCGGCGGCAACAGGGGCGGCATGTACTACTGGAGCAGCGGCATAAGCGGCAGGAAAGGCAGCAGAGTGAGCAATATGGTGGGCATTGTAGGTGGAGGCATAAGGAGCAACATAAGAAGCATGACCAACAACGGCGGGAGCAGCGGCATAAGTCAAAGGAGCAGAGTAGGCCAAGGGAGCAGAGTAAGCCAAAGGAGCAGTGTAAGCCAAAGGAGCTACAACACCGGGTTTAGCGGCGGCAACAGCGAACAAAGCGAAGAAGCAGACAGCGATCTAAAAATATTAGAAATTACTTTTGTTAATAAAAAGGACTTTTTAAAAATCTGCATAAAATATACAACTTACGAATTTGAACATTTTGATTAGGTTTGAGTGGTTTGAGTTAATTCGTTGAAAAACTGAATTGAATACAATTTGATTCGAAGGTGTTAAGGTTTAAATAGTTCTTTTGGGGTTACACACAAAACTACTATGTTTAAGATTAAAACAAAAATTCCCCTAAAAATATTGTTTGAAATAAATAAAGTTAAAAATTATAAATTCCAGACATGTTTAATTTAAACAGTTAAGTGCGCTACGCTTTTTAATGCATGTTAAAATTTACAAGATTATTGTATGTATGTACTTCAAAAATATGTTTGGAAAAAACCGAACAAAGTGTTTAATAATTATTTCTATATTTGTTTATAATGTTTGTTGATTTTTGAAGGTGTTTAATTTATAAATGTTTTATTGGTGTTAACCCTGACCTTGCATTATTTATTTAAAGTAAATTTAACGGTTTCAATATTTAATATTCATTACGAGTAGTGACCCTATGTGCTTTCCTATTGCTATAAAAGAGCCTGTGTTGTCAACAAAAGTTATCAAATTTTATTTGTCCACTCAACTCTAAACTCAAACAAAATGTTCAAATTCGTAAGTTGAAAAAACCTAAAATTTATAAACAAACATTTTAAAATTATTTAATTTATTTTTCTAAAGATCGCTGTCTGCTTCTTCGCTTTGTTGGCTGTAGCTGCTGCTAAGCCCGGTGTCGTAGCTCCTTTGGCTTACACTGCTCCCGTTGCCGCTGCTTACACCGCTCCTTTGGCTTACTCTGCTCCTTTGACTTATGCCGCTGCTCCCGCTGTTGTTGGTCATGCTTCTTACGTAGCTCCTTATGCTTCCACCTACAATGCCCACCATATTGCCCACTCTGCTGCTTTCCCTGCCGCTTATGCTGCTGCTCCAGTAGTACATGCTGCCCCTGTAGCCGCCGTTCCTCTTTTCTTGAAGAAATAGATCAGTGAATTTGGATTTGAATAAATGTTACCCTAAATCGAAATTTTGTTTGTTTTTTTTTTTTACTTTTTGGGAACTTTTTGAAAATTTAAATTACTGTGTTCTTAATTTTGTTAATTCCGGGAAACATAAGTATACGATTTACAACAACAAATGAACGATCGAATAGAATTCTAGTTCAGTTTTTGTTCAGCTCTGGTTCAGTTCTTAGTTAGTTTTAGTTCAGTTCTAGTTCAGTTCTAGTTCAGTTCTAGTTCAGTTCTGGTTCAGTTCTAGTTCAGTTGTAGTTCAGTCTTAGTTCAGTTCTAGTTCAGTTCTAGTTCAGATGTAGTTCAGTTCTGGTTCAGTTCTAGTTCAGTTCTAGTTCAGTTCTAGTTCAGTTCTAGTTTAGTTCTAGTTCAGTTCTGGTTCAGTTCTAGTTCAGTTCTAGTTCAGTTCTAGTTCAGTTCTAGTTCAGTTCTAGTTCAGTTCTAGTTCAGTTCTAGTTCAGTTCTAGTTCAGTTCTAGTTCAGTTCTAGTTCAGTTCTAGTTCAGTTCTAGTTCAGTTCTAGTTCAGTTGTAGTTCAGTTGTAGTTCAGTTCCTGGTTCAGTTCTAGTTCAGTCTAGTTCAGTTCTAGTTCAGTTCTGGTTCAGTTCTAGTTCAGTTCTAGTTCAGTTTCTAGTTCAGTTTCTAGTTCAGTTCTAGTTCAGTTCTAGTTCAGTTCTAGTTCAGTTCTAGTTCAGTTCTAGTTCAGTTTCTAGTTCAGTTCTAGTTCAGTTCTAGTTCAGTTCTAGTTCAGTTCTAGTTCAGTTCTAGTTCAGTTCTAGTTCAGTTCTAGTTCAGTTCTAGTTCAGTTCTAGTTCAGTTCTAGTTCAGTTCTACTTCAGTTCTAGTTCAGTTCTAGTTCAGTTCTAGTTCAGTTCTAGTTCAGTTCTAGTTCAGTTCTAGTTCAGTTCTAGTTCAGTTCTAGTTCAGTTCTAGTTCAGTTCTAGTTCAGTTCTAGTTCAATTCTAGTTCAGTTCTAGTTCAGTTCTAGTTCAGTTCTAGTTCAGTTCTAGTTCAGTTCTAGTTCAGTTCTAGTTCAGTTCTAGTTCAGTTCTAGTTCAGTTCTAGTTCAGTCTAGTTCAGTTCTAGTTCAGTTCTAGTTCAGTTCTAGTTCAGTTCTAGTTCAGTTCTAGTTCAGTTCTAGTTCAGTTCTAGTTCAGTTCTAGTTTCAGTTCTAGTTCAGTTTCTAGTTCAGTTCTAGTTCAGTTCTAGTTCAGTTCTAGTTCAGTTCTAGTTCAGTTCTAGTTCAGTTCTAGTTCTAGTTCAGTTCTAGTTCAGTTCTAGTCAGTTCTAGTTCAGTTCTAGTTCAGTTTTAGTTCAGTTCTAGTTCAGTTCTAGTTCAGTTCTAGTTCAGTTCTAGTTCAGTTCTAGTTCAGTTCTAGTTCAGTTCTAGTTCAGTTCTAGTTCAGTTCTAGTTCAGTTCTAGTTCAGTTCTAGTTCAGTTCTAGTTCAGTTCTAGTTCAATTCTAGTTCAGTTCTAGTTCAATTCTAGTTCAGTTCTAGTTCAGTTCTAGTTCAGTTCTAGTTCAATTCTAGTTCAGTTCTAGTTCAGTTCTATTTCCGTTCTTCTTCGGATCGAGTTCAGATTTTATACAGTTATTCTTCTGTTTGTTTTAAGGTAGCTAGGTTCTATATGTAGTTACAAATTAGAATAACACTTTGATAAAACATTATTTCCTTAAAAAATCAGAATTTTTGCTATAAATTGGATAAATCAAACACAATTTGGATCGGATTTTTTTAAAACTTTTTATTTTAGTCTAAAAAATGTTGCAAAAATTCAGCAAATTTACTTCTTCAACAAAACAGGGCCGGCGAAAGGAGTGGCAAGAGGAGCAGCATAAGCGGCGCTTACAACGGGAGCAGCGGCGTAATGAGCAGCTACAACGGGAGCAGCAGCATAAGCGGCAGGGAAGGCAGCAGAGTGAGCAATATGGTGGGCATTGTAGGTGGAAGCATAAGGAGCTACATAAGAAGCATGACCAACAACAGCGGGAGCGGCGGCATAAGTCAAGGGAGCAGAGTAAGCTAAGGGAGCTACCAAACCTGGTTTAGCGGCAGCAACAGCCAACAAAGCGAAGAAGCAGACAGCGATCTAAAAGGAAAGCAAAATAAAAAGGAATTAATATTATTATCAAATTTTTTGGATGGTTTTTTTCTTAATACTTACGAATTTGAACATTTTGTTTAGATTTGTGGATTAATGATTGTACAAATTGAATTTGTTACTTAAACCACATAAATTTAAGACTTTTATACTAAATTGAGTCCATAACTATAGTAAACGACCATAAATGACAATAATCATTGAGGTTGTTGGATGTGAATATTGTGTTGTTGTAGATTAAGAAGTCATAAAAATAAATTACGCATAATAATAAATTTCATAAATATTTCGAAGGCAAGAAACGGACAGACTTGTAAATGTTTTTGTTAAGGTGGGGGTGGTTGGTGGTCGGTTGTTTTAAGGTTTAGACCAGAAATCCCCATCATAATGTGTCTTTCTATAGCTTAAGAGACAAACTTATAATACTTACAGATATTTACTCAAATAATTTTTATTTTACTTTTTATGTTTTTTTTTTTTATATATTATTTTATGCCCGCAGTCAGTCAGTGTTTGAGTCGGTGTGAGACATGTCCAGAATTTATAATTATTTTATTTGATGGTCGCTGTGCTGTTGGTCAATTTGTGTGTGTGTGTGTCGGAGTGTGCTGATCATTTTCAAGCCAAATATTTGTTCATAAAATAAAAAAAGATATTTAGCCAATGACTGTTTGTAGGTTGTAGGTAACTTGTATGCAATTAATTAAATTTAGTATAAATAACACTTCAAATATTAAAATTAACTAGTTAACATTTTAACGTTAAACTAAACTACTCAAATCTCAAACAAAATCAACATGTTCAAATTCGTAAGTTAAAACTTATATTTTAATTTAAAACATAATTTTAAAATTACAAGAGGATTTATATTTCTAACTGCTGTCGCTTACCTTTCTAAATAGATCGCTGTCTGCTTCTTTGCTTTGTTGGCTGTTGCTGCCGCTAAACCCGGTGTTGTAGCTCCTTTGGCTTATAGCGCTCCCTTGGCTTACACAGCTCCTGCCGCCGCTGTTGTTGGTCATGCTTCTTACGTAGCTCCCTATGCCTCTAGCTACAATGCCCATTCGGTTGCCCACTCTGCCGCCTTCCCTGCCGCTTATGCTGCTGCTCCCGTCGTAGCTGCTTCTCCTTATGTTGCATCTCCTTATGTTGCTTCTCCCTATGTTGCTGCCTCAGCTCCTTTGCTCTTGAAGTAAACTGTGATTTAAATTTGTTTTCGTTGTTGATGGTGAAATAAACTTAAAAGTGATACACGTTAAAATTTTAATTGAAAATTGTGTTTATTTTTTGAAAATGGTGGAGAAATTTTGGAACATATCGTTTCATAGACATTACAAAGTATTAATGATTATTCCAAAGTAAAGATAATTAAGACCTGTAATCAAAAATTTACAACTCGGTCGTAGAAGTGTTGAGCTAAAGCAGTAATTGATCTAAAATACTCATTTATTTAAATTGTTTCAAATAAAAAAATATTTAAATATAATGTTATTTTAACATTATAATTATAAATCCCAACTAACGAAGTAAGGAATTGAAACTGCCGGGCAATACGATTACTATTGGTGAAATCGGTTTATTAGCGACAAATGAAAATTTAATCGGTAATTCGATTTTTGTATATTCCAATTTTTGTGAAACAATCGATTTTAAACTATTTTTTTTTTTTTTTTAATTTGATTCTTGAGAAAATTCGGATTATATGTGAAAAATTGAATTTTTCAGCAAAATATGATTTGGTGAAAAATAAGATTTTTCATGAAAATTAGGTTTTTATAGATTTTTTTATGAAAATTCGCATTTTTAGTGAAAAATTTGATTTTAAAGTAATTTATTTCTAGTTCAGTTTTTTGTTAAAATTTAATTTTTTAGAAAATTCTAATTTTTTTGTGAAAAATTAAATTTTTGTTGAAAAAAAAATTTTTTGGGTGAAATTGTGATTTTAAGTGAAAAATTTGAATTTTGGTGAAAATGTGCTTTTTAGTGAAATGTTAGTTCTAGTTCAGTTCTAGTTCAGTTCTAGTTCAGTTCTAGTTCAGTTCTAGTTCAGTTCTAGTTCAGTTCTAGTTCAGTCTAGTTCAGTTCTAGTTCAGTTCTAGTTCAGTTCTAGTTCAGTTCTAGTTCAGTTCTAGTTCAGTTCTAGTTCAGTTCTAGTTCGTTCTAGTTCAGTTCTAGTTCAGTTCTAGTTCAGTTCTAGTTCAGTTCTAGTTCAGTTCTAGTTCAGTTCTAGTTCAGTTCTAGTTCAGTTCTAATTCAGTTCTAGTTCACTTCTAGTTCAGTTCTAGTTCAGTTCTAGTTCAGTTCTAGTTCAGTTCTAGTTCAGTTCTAGTTCAGTTCTAGTTCAGTTCTAGTTCAGTTCTAGTTCAGTTCTAGTTCAGTTCTAGTTCAGTTCTAGTTCAGTTCTAGTTCATTCTAGTTCAGTTCTAGTTCAGTTCTAGTTCAGTTCTAGTTCAGTTTAGTTCAGTTCTAGTTCAGTTCTAGTTCAGTTCTAGTTCAGTTCTAGTTCAGTTCTAGTTCAGTTCTAGTTCAGTTCTAGTTCAGTTCTAGTTCAGTTTCGTTCAGTTCAGTTTCTAGTTCAGTTCTAGTTCAGTTCTAGTTCAGTTCTAGTTCAGTTCTAGTTCAGTTCTAGTTCAGTTCTAGTTCAGTTCTAGTTCAGTTCTAGTTCAGTTCTAGTTCAGTTCTAGTTCAGTTCTAGTTCAGTTCTAGTTCAGTTCTAGTTCAGTTCTAGTTCAGTTCTAGTTCAGTTCTAGTTCAGTTCTAGTTCAGTTCTAGTTCAGTTCTAGTTCAGTTCTAGTTCAGTTCTAGTTCAGTTCTAGTTCAGTTCTAGTTCAGTTCTAGTTCAGTTCTAGTTCAGTTCTAGTTCAGTTCTAGTTCAGTTCTAGTTCAGTTCTAGTTCAGTTCTAGTTCAGTTTTCTCGTTCTAGTTCAGTTCTAGTTCAGTTCTAGTTCAGTTCTAGTTCAGTTTTAGTTCAGTTCTAGTTCAGTTTTAGTTCAGTTCTAGTTCATTTCTAGTTCAGCTCTAGTTCAGTTCTAGTTCAGTTCTAGTTCGTTCTAGTTCAGTTCTAGTTCAGTTCTAGTTCAGTTCTAGTTCAGTTCTAGTTCAGTTCTAGTTCAGTTCTAGTTCAGTTCTAGTTCATTTCTAGTTCAGTTCTAGTTCAGTTCTAGTTCAGTTCTAGTTCAGTTCTAGTTCAGTTCTAGTTCAGTCTAGTTCAGTTCTAGTTCAGTTCTAGTTCAGTTCTAGTTCAGTTCTAGTTCAGTTCTAGTTCAGTTCTAGTTCAGTTCTAGTTCAGTTCTAGTTCAGTTCTAGTTCAGTTCAGTTCAGTTTAGTTCAGTTTTAGTTCAGTTCTAGTTCAGTTCTAGTTCAGTTCTAGTTCAGTTTTAGTTCAGTTTTAGTTCAGTTCTAGTTCATTTCTAGTTCATTTCTAGTTCAGCTCTAGTTCAGTTCTTGTTCAGTTTTAGTTCAGTTCTAGTTCAGTTCTAGTTCTAGTTTAGTTCTAGTTCAGTTCTAGTTCAGTTCTAGTTCAGTTCTAGTTCAGTTCTAGTTCAGTCCTAGTTCAGTTCTAGTTCAGTTCTAGTTCAGTTCTTGTTCAGTTTTAGTTAATGAGATCTGAGTGTTAGTAAAAAATAATTTAGGAAATTAAAAAAAAAAAATCTTAGTGAAAAATCTTCATATAGTTTTTCATGTAAATTTAAACTGGAGGTCACCTTTACCTCTTTTACTTACATGTTCTGCGTTTACAGAATTCTTTCAAAACTCAAATTTGTTTAAATGTAATACGATTGTTTTTCCTTTTTTGCAAATTAATATGAAATTAATAAAGAAAATTGTGTATTAATAAAAGAAAAAATCCAATATGAAACCATTTAGACATTAATAACTATTCAAATTTATTCTCTCCTTTTATTACAAAAGAATTCACATGGAATTTAATCAGAGATGAACACATATCGTTGGCATACGATGGAATCTTAAACAAATTAAGAAATATTCCACAAGTAAGCTTAACAAACAAAACGACTTAAAAATACCCTACATATATTATTATTATTATAAACTTACGTCCAGGAGATCTGTTCTACGTAAAAGCTTCCTCCAAGAAACGATATATTTTTCTGAAGAACGCTTAACATTAAAATACACTTCTAAACGAGACTAAAAAGTCACTATAGTGTCTTCGGTAAAGTTATTAAGAATTTTATGATGTTACCGTAGGGTATCAAACATTGTGCTAATAACTCCTCTCGTTGTACAGCCTGCCACATGCGATTTTTGCGGCACAAATATTCAAAAACATTTTCAAGAGGAATCATTGAAATTCATACATAAATGATGATTATGAAGAAAACGATGATGATTTCTTTCTTGATTCTTACTTGTTTTATATATTGATAAAGAAATCAAGAAGAAAACAAAAAAAAAAAAAAAAACATTTTATTGGGTGATGTGATGAAGTTACAAGTCTTGGTTTTTATCTCTATATTATTCTTTTGGTGTATTTAAATATGCAATTTACAAATTCAGTTCAAATATAGTGCCCTACTCTTTGCATAATACTTACTTTGAGGAAATTTTTATTAGAAATTTATTTAAATAGTGCAAACTATGTGCTGGTTGATATGAAGACCTATAGTACTAACCATATACTGATCTAATGTCACGACTATAAACTGATCTACAGACTTTATCTATAATTAAGACTATAAACTGATCTATAGTACAGACTAGGGTTCTATAGTTGAAACGAAAAGTCGACTTTTTTCATTTAGTTAAAAGTCGACTTTTCGACTTATCGACGTTTTTCATTTAATTAAAAGTCGACTATTAGACTTTTCGACTATAAGTATTTATAAATAGTCGACTTTTCGACTTTTTCCGACTTTTCTACTTTTTTCGACTTTTTCGACTTTTCGACTTTTTGCGACTTTTCGACTTTTTTCGACTTTTATCGACTTTTTTCGACTTTTCGAATTTTTCCGACTTTTCGATTTTTTCGTCTTCTTTCGACTTTTTTCGACTTTTTTTTTACTTTTTTCGAGTTTTTCCGACTATTTAAAAGTTTTTGACTTTTTTTCAACCTTTTCAAAATTTTCGACTATTTTTGACTTCTTTTCTACAATTTTCGAGTTTTCGACTTTTTCTGACTTTTCGACTTTTTCCCACTTTTTTCGACTTTTTCCGACTTTTCGACTTTTTACGACTTTTTACGACTTTTCGACTTTTATTAACAAAGTCGACTTTTCGACTTTTTTCACAGATGATAGTCGAGTTATCGACTTTTTTGGAACAAAATAGACGACTTCGACTTTTCGACTTTTTTCGACAAAAAGTCGATTGTTCGATTATTCGAAAGTCGATTTATAGAACCCTAGTACAGACATAAACTGATCTATAGTATTGATCTCTAGTAGTGGCTATAAATAGCTTTATAATTCAATATGAACCAATCTATATGTATATAGCACTGACTATAGACTGATCTATAGTACATACTTTAGATTGCTCGATAATGCTGACTGATCTATAGTATAGACTAAACTAAACTGATCTATAGTACCGACTGTAGATTGATCTATATTATAGTACAATAGTACCGACGATATAGATCTAAAGTGCAGACTATAGACTGATCTATAGTGCAGACTGTAGACTGATCCACAGTATAGACTCTAGACCGATCTAAATTTCCGACTATATACTGATATATAGTACAGAATGTAGACTGATCTATAGTATAGACTATATACTGATCTATAGTGGCGAATGTTGACAGATTTATAGTACAATAGTACGGACTATAGACTGATCTAAAGTTCAGACTATATAAGGATCTATAGTACAGACATATGTACATATATAGATCTAAAGTGCAGACTGTATACTGATCTCTAGTACAGACTGTAGATTGATCCATAGTATAGATTGTAGACCGATCTATAGTGCAGACTATATACATTCTATAATCAGGTTTATAGACTGATCTATAGTACAATAGTACAGACTATATACTGATCTATAGTACAGACTGCACTTTTGATCTAACTAGATCAAAAGTGCAGACTGTAGATTGATCTGTAGTACAGACTGTAGACTGATCTATAGTATAGTTTATAGACTGATCTATAGTGCCGAATGAAGACTGATCTATAGTGCCCATTGTAGACTGATCTATAATACAATAGTACGGACGATAGCCTGATCTAGAGAACAAACTGTAGAATGATGTATGGTATAGATTGTAAACTGATCTATAGTGCCGACTGTAGACTAATCTATAGTACAATAGTACGGACGATAGCCTGATCTAGAGAATAGACTGTAGAATGATCTTTAGTATAGACTGATCTATAGTGCCGACTATAGACTGATCTATAATACTGTAGACTGACCCACAGTATAGACTATAATCTGATCTATAGCGCCGACTGTAGACTGATCTATAGTACAATAGTACTGACTATGGCCTGATCTATAGTATAGACTATAGCCTGATCTATAGTACATATTCAGATAGATCTAAAGTGCAGACTCTATACTGATTTATAGTATAGATTATAGACTGATCTATAAGGCCAACTGTAGACTGGTCTTTAGAACAATAATACGGATTAATTGATCTATATTTCGGTATATAGGCTGATCCATATTGTAGACTATAAACTGATCTACAGTACAAACTATACATTGATCTAAAGTACAGACCGACCTATTATAAAATGTGTTTAGTTCTTAAATAAAAATTAAATAAAAACTGCAGCTCATTCTAAATTCGTTTTAGACAGCATCACTTCTTGTAACAGAGAAACGTTAAACATGTGTTTTCCTTTTGCTCCACATCTTCCACACACACACACTTGGCATGCATTCATTTATAGTATATCTGATCCTTGTTATGTGGTTTTCTGTGTTTTTATTTATATTTCAAATGTGCGATGAAAACATAAAAACCGATTGAAAAATTCAATTTAATATAATTTAATCTTTTTCAACAGATTTGTTGTTTCACAATATAACTGCACAATGATTTAGATTTAGAAGAGTAGATGCTTTAGATTTAAAGTGTATAAAGTTGTTATTAATAATATAAATATATTAAACTGTTTTATTTACAGATTCAATGTGGTAATCGAATTTGTTACCAAAGGATCGGTACAGTAATAAGGTTTTTTAATTAAATATCCAAAAAATATGGAAATTTCTTGCATGATTAGTGACAAGAGCGATAATTGACTCTTTTTGAAGAAAAGTATAGCGACCACTTTATAAAGGATTAATAACTGTAAGTCAGTTTTTTATTTTACAATAAAATGTTTTTCAACCATTTTAATTTCCATTTAAATATTACAAATTTAAAACTCGTTTTACAAAAGTATTATTTTTTAAAATAATCATTATAATCAAATTTCTTCTCATAGTGCGTATAACCGATAATCCAAATTACAGCTTATTTACGCGGACTCAGCCTTATTTTCCTTATGGACAGACAAACTATCTTTTTGTAAAGTCAAATTGTCTCTTTGAGTTTGGCAAGGTTCTGAAAAAAATATTTTAAATTAAATTATTAATAAACTTTCGTTGATGTAGCGAAATATATGACTAATTGCTATAAATAGCTATTGAACAAACAAATTCAAATACTTTTTAAGAATTTGTAATGAGTAAAATAATTTTTTTAAATTTCTTTTCCCACGGTGCGCATTTTTATCACTATTTAAAATTCTATAAGAATTTTATAGATACCGGTAAATTTGAATAAGAAATTGAATGTTTGTAAAAAAGAGGAATTAGAAAAAAATATATAAAAATCGAAGAGGAGAATATGAGAGTAAGAGGGTAAAAGGAATAAGTGGATGAGAGTAAAGAACTTAAATTAGAGAACAATTGTTGGATGATCGGCTAGCTTTGTTTTTGTCTTCGGTCAAGGCTGACTATCTGTAGTTAAGACTATAAACCAATCTACAGGTAAGACAATGAACTGATCTATAATTATCTACACTGATCTATAATACAGAATATGTTTGGATCTATAGTCCAGACTATAGACTTAAAGTTCAGACTATAAATCAATCCATTATTAATTAAGCCAACAAACTGATCCATGATCAGCGTCGAATTACCTATAGTCCAGACTACAGACTAATCTAAAGAACAAATAGTAGATTAATTTACAAAACTATAGGCCTTAATATTGCTCAGACTGTACTTACATTAATGAAGAATCTATAATATAGACCAGTTTATAGATTCAACAGGAGTTCAACTATTCATCAGCTTTTAGCCTGATCTATAGAGCTGACTACAAATTGATCTACAGTTCAGACTAGAAAATGTTCCATAGTACTATAGACTGATCTATGTTCTACTATATACTGATTTATGTTCTACACTGATCAGCATTTCAGAATATAGACTTTTGTATAGCCTATATCTATTTTCGAATTAAAAATGTATCAATATAGACTGATCTATTGTCCAGACTCTAGACTGATCTATTGTCCAGACTCTAGACTGATCTATAGTCCAGACTATAGACTGATCAATAGTCCAGACTATAGACTGATCAATAGTCCAGACTATAGACTGATCTATAGTCCAGACTGTAGACTGATCTATAGTCCAGACTATAGACTGATCTATAGTCCAGACTATAGACTGATCTATAGTCCAGACTATAGACTGATCTATAGTCCAGACTATAGACTGATCTATAGTCCAGAATATAGACTGATCTATAGTCCAGATTACAGACTGATCTATAGTGCAGACTATAGACTGATCTATAGTCCAGACTATAGACTGATCTACAGTCCAAACTTTAGATTGATCTATAGTCCACAATATAGACTGATCTATAGTCCAGACTATAGACTGATCTATAGTCCAGACTATAGACTGATCTATAGTATAGACTAAAGACTGATCTATATTATAGACTATAGACTGATCTATAGTCCAGACTATAAACTGATCTATAGTCCAGACTATTGACTAATCTATAGTCCAGACTATAGACTGATCTATAGTCCAGATTATAGACTGATCTATAGTCCATACTATATACTGATCTATAGTCCAGACTATATACTGATCTATAGTCCAGACTATAGACTGATCTATAGTCCAGACTATAGACTGATCTATAGTCCAGACTATAGACTGATCTATAGTCCAGACTATAGACTGATCTATAGTCCAGACTATAGACTGATCTATAGTCCAGACTATAGACTGATCTATATTCCAGACTATAGACTGATCTATAGTCCAGACTATAGACTGATCTATAGTCCAGACTATAAACTGATCTATAGTTCAGACTATAGAATGATCTATAGTCAGACTATAGATTGATCTATAGTCAGACTATAGATTGATCTATTGTCCCAACTATAGACTGATCTATAGTCCCAACTATAGACTGATCTACAGTCCAGACTATAGACTGATCTATAGTCCAGACTATAGACTGATCTATAGTCCAACTATAGACTGATCTACAGTCCAGACTATAGACTGATCTATAGTCCAGACTATAGACTGATCTATAGTCCAGACTATAGACTGATCTATAGTCCAGACTATAGACTGATCTATAGTCCAGACTATAGACTGATCTATAGTCCAGACTATAGACTGATCTATAGTCCAGACTATAGACTGATCTATAGTCCAGACTATAGACTGATCTATAGTCCAGACTATAGACTGATCTATAGTCCAGACTATAGACTGATCTATAGTCCAGACTATAGACTGATCTATAGTCCAGACTATAGACTGATCTATAGTCCAGACTATGGACTGATCTATAATCCAGACTAAAGACTGATCTATAATCCAGACTAAAGACTGATCTATAATCCAGACTAAAGACTGATCTATAGTCCAGACAATAGACTGATCTATAGTCCAGACTATAGACAGATCTATAGTCCAGACTATAGACAGATCTATAGTCCAGACTATAGACAGATCTATAGTCCAGACTATAGACTGATCTAAAGTCCAAACTATAGACTGATCTTTAGTCCAGACTATAGACTGATCTATAGTCCAGACTATAGACTGATCTATAGTTCCAGACTATAGACTGATCTATAGTCCAGACTATAGACTGATCTATAGTCCATTCCATAGTCCAGACTATACACCGTTCCATAACCCAGACTATAGAGAGTTTCATAGTCCAGACTGTAGTCTATAGATTGATGTATAGTCCAGATTGAAGAGTGATCTGAACTACATGATCTATAGTACTGACTGTTCCACAGTACAGACTACAGACTATAGACTATAGGTCTTTAGTGCAGACTAGAGACTGATCTATAGTGCAGATTATATACTGATGTATTGTCCAGACATAGTTTGATGTATTGTCCAGTCAATAATTTGATTTATTCTCCAGGCAATAGTTTCATATATTGTCCATACAATGCACTGATCAAAGGTCCGACTATCGACCGATCTATTGTCTAGACTAAAGACTGATCTATAGTGCAGACTATAGAACGATATATTGTCCATACTTAAGACTGATCTATAGTGCAGACTGTAGACAATAGATCCAGACAATAGTTTGATCTATTGTCCAGGCAATAGTTTTATATATTGTCCATACAATACACTGATATATAGTTCAGACAATAGACTGATCCTTTAGTCCAGACTAAAGAATGATCTATAGTTCGGACTATGGTCCAGACCATAGTCTGATCTTTAGTCCAGATTATAGACTGATTTATAGTCCAGACTATAGATGTTTCTATAGTCCATACAAAAGACTTTTTTATAGTCCAGGCTGCGGACTGATCTATAGTCCTGACTATAGGCTTATTTATAGTCCAGGCTATAGACTCTACTGTAGACTTACATATAGTCCAGACTGTAGACTGGTCTATAGTCAAGACTATCGACTGATCTATATATAGTGTGATATACTGATATACGTATAGTCCACACTATAGTCAAGATTATAGAGTTTACTTGCAACATTAGAGCAGCTCAGGCACAAAAATATTTTATCTCATTTTCACTGGGCTTAGAAGTTAGTTGTTAGTTTGTCCTAAATCAGATTTCTTTAAAATAGTACAAATATCGTTTATTGAGTTTTTTGTTGCACATTCAAGTCGAGTCACCAGATAAATTGAAAATATTTTCCATAAATAACAAAAACATAAAAAAATTCACTTTAGTTTTGTACTAACGTCTTACGTAATAGGCGGCACCGCCCAAATGAGGATAGACAGCATACGAGGGATAAGTGGCATAAGAAGCAGCAGCATAGTGAGGATAATAGGCCTGTGCGGCAAAAGCGGGAGCGGCAAAGACGGGCGTGTGTACAGCAGTAGCAGCTACAACAGGATGGTGAACAGCAGCTGTTGCTACAACAGGAGTCACTAAAGCGGGAGCAGCAGCATAGTTTACTCCGGTAGTTAATAAATGAGGCTTAGCGGAGGTATAAGCTACTACAGCTAAAAATAAAACGATCAACTGAAATGAAAAGATTTTGTAATAAAATTTATTTGTTTTTATAAATTTTCGTACAATTTAATAAAATACTTACAAATTTAAACATTGTGCTGGAGTAAAAGAGGATGTAGCTGCTTGTACGTTTGGTAACCAAGTAATTGATATTTGAATACTAAATGCCAATTTATTCAATACTGGCCTTCATTATTTGTCAGAGAATCATGTTTTGTTTTTCGTCTCATTATGCTTGTTTATCGTTAATTCTTTCTTATGTTTTTTTTTTCTATAATTTCTTTTGGTTTTATTTTGGATGAGTGTTGTTGTTGGGTTTTGTTTTTGGAAGATTTTTATTATACGTTACCATAACTATCAAGAAAATGTAAATTGTTTTCATTCTCAACTTGGCACAGTGGGTTAGATTGGCAATATAAAGGGAAAAAGTTTAGTTTTTTTTATCATTTAAATAAACTTTCAATATTTAAAATAATATTTTCAAACAGTTTCGAAATTCCTCAGATCGTTGTTGATATTTACTTTTACAGAACATTCTAATGGTTTGTGTCTTAGCTAATAATGGAGCAACGTCTCTCTACTATATGAATTCTCCATTTTCTCTCATTAAATATCATTTATATTTAAATTAATCAAAATTCTCTTTGTTCTACTCACATTCTAGCCATAAAAAAGTTATTAAACTTTTTAATGAAAATATAAATAAAAAGAAATGTCCAAAAAGGAAGAAAGAATAAATCACAATTGCAAAAGAGAGAGAGATAGAGAAAAAACAATAAAAGTTTTATTTTATTTTTTTTTGGGTGTGTTTCAGCAAACGCTATTTGTCTGTTATGTATTAATTATTTTAATATAATTTTATTTTTATTATTTTGCACATTATTGACCATAATGATACGGTTACCATGGTTAATAATGAATGAGCAAAACCATAAAAAAAACTGGACAGAGCAAAAAAACAAGTGAATTAATGAATGAAATTCTTTTTTCGGTTTTCCATTTGGCACGTAGTAAAAAATACATATTTAATCAAAATATTAATTAAATGGTTGGTTTGTTGTTCATTAAAACGCAATGAATTACTTTTTTTTCTCGAAATGGTATAAAAATGATGATACTGATGACGATGATAGCAAAGGTGATTAAATTTGTGTTCTTTTGGCATAATAACTTAAGTCAACTTAAGTCCACATTTAAGATTATATTGATCTTCAGTCAAGAATACTAATTGATCTATAGAAGAGATTTCATGTACATATTCAGGACTATAGACTGACCTATAGTCAGGACTATAGATAAAACTATAGACACATCCATGGCGAGGACTTAAGACAATACTCAGGACTATAGGCTGAAGTATATTCAGGACTATAGATTGATCTATTGTTAGGACTATTGACTGCTCTATATTCAGGACTATAGACTGAACTATAGTCAGGACTATAGAGTGATTCATGGTGAGGACTTAAGGCTATAGTCAGGACTATAGACTGCTTTATATTTAAGACTATAGACAGATCTATAATTAATTCAAATAAATAAAATACACTGATCTATAGACAGGACTATAGACTGCTTTATATTCAGGACTATGAACTGATCTATAATCAGGACTATAGACTGATCTAAAGTCAGGACTATAGACTGATCTGTAGTCAGGACTATAAACTGATCTATAGTCAGGACTATAGACTGATCAATTGTCAGGACTATAGACTGATCAATATTTAGGACTACAGACTGAACAATTCCGGACTACAGTCAGGACTATAGACTGATCTATATTCAGGACTATAGACTGAACTATAATCAGGAGTATAGACTGATCCATGACGAGGACCTAAGACTATAATCAGGACTATAGACTGATCAATAGTTAGGACTATAGATAAAACTATAGACACATCCATGGCGAGGACTCAAGACAATAGTCAGGACTATAGGCTGATGTATATTCAGGACTATAGATTGATCTATTGTTAGGACTATTGACTGCTCTATATTCAGGACTATAGACTGAACTATAGTCAGGACTATAGAGTGATTCATGGTGAGGACTTAAGGCTATAGTCAGGACTATAGACTGCTTTATATTTAAGACTATAGACAGATCTATAATTAATTCAAATAAATAAAATACACTGATCTATAGACAGGACTATAGACTGCTTTATATTCAGGACTATGAACTGATCTATAATCAGGACTATAGACTGATCTAAAGTCAGGACTATAGACTGATCTGTAGTCAGGACTATAAACTGATCTATAGTCAGGACTATAGACTGATCAATTGTCAGGACTATAGACTGATCAATATTTAGGACTACAGACTGAACAATTCCGGACTACAGTCAGGACTATAGACTGATCTATATTCAGGACTATAGACTGAACTATAATCAGGACTATAGACTGATCCATGGCGAGGACCTGAGACTATAATCAGGACTATATACTGATCAATAGTTAGGACTATTGACTGCTCTATATTCAGGACTATAGACTGATCTATACTCAGGACTATAGATAAAACTATAGTCTGGACTATGATACATCCATGGCGAGGACTTAAGACAATAGTCAGGACTATAGGCTGATCTATAGTCAGGATTATAGACTGATCTATATTCAGGACTATAGACTGATCTATTGTCAGGACTATTGACTGCTCTATATGTAGGACTATAGACTGAACTATAATCTGAACTATAGACTGATCTATAGTCAGGACTATAGACTGAACTATAATCAGAACTATAGATTGATCCATGGTGAGGACTTAAGGCTTTAGTCAGGACTATAAACTGAGAAATAGTCAAGACTATAGACTGCTCTATATTTAAGACTATAGGCTGATCTATAATTAAGACTATGGACAGATTTATAGTCAAGACTATAAACTGATCTATAGGCAGGACTATAGACTTATTTATATTTTAAACTATAGAGAGATCTATAGTCAAAACTATAGAATTCTATATAGCCTAGACTAAAGACAATTCTATAGACAGATCTTTTGTCTAGGATGTTAAATGATATATGACTGATGATGGACAGATTTATAGTCAAGACTATATGCTGATCTATAGCCAAGACTATAGACTGATCTATAGTCAAAACTATGGACTGATCTATAGACAAGACTATAAACTGATCTATAGGCAGGACTATAGACTGATCTATAGTCAAATCTATAGAATTCTCTATAGCCTAGACTAAAGAAAATTCTATAGACAGATCTTTTGTCTATAATATTAAATGATATATGACTGATCATTATTCGCTAATATATATACGGATCTATAGTCAAGATATGCTATACAGTGATCTACTGTCAGACTATAGAGTGAACTATAATCAAGACTACAGATTTACAGCAGTCAAAACTATGGAATTATCTGTAGTCAATAGAGTGGTCTGTAGTCAAGTATTTCAAGAATTTTCAATGGTCAAAACTATAGTGATATGTAGTCTATATTATGGAGTGATATTTTGTCAAAAGTATAGAATGCTGTATGGTCAAGACTGTAGTTGATCTATAGTCAACATTATAGTCAAATCTATAGTGAAGATTATAGAATGCTCGGTGTTCAAGACAATTGACTGATCAGTAGTTATTACTACAGAGTGCTCTATGGTCAAGACTATAGAATTCTCTAAAGTCTAGACTATAGACATATCTGTAGTCAAGTCCATTGTTCGCGATTACAGACTGATCTATGGCTATGATATTGACCAGTCTTGACTAAAGACTAAAACCTTTCTACACCCATGACCATCTTCAGTGAAGATTGATCTATAGTCTCACTATAGATCAGTTCTGTTTTTTGACTTAAGCTGTTAAAGTGTATTGACACAATGAAGTGAAATGGATAGAAAGAATGCCTTTTGATGTGCTTTAATGTGATAAATTATTTTGATTTTTATCGGTAATTTGCTTTCGGCTGTTTATGAAATTTTAAGCTGAATCGAATAAAAGTCAATAAAAATTATTCAGTTTAAGATTTTAAACATATTAATCCAACATGTATTCACAGTATCTGTTGAAAATTCTAGAGTTTAAAAGTGTTAACATGGAAACTCAAAAGTCTGTTAAAGATCCATGATAATGTTGTCTTCCTAGTACTTAAGTTGGAATCGGTTTCAAAAGGGGCTTTTAAGTATGAGACATCTTTTACCATTAACGAGTTATAAATCTGTGATCATCCATGTGTTTAAACACTAACTGTTTATTTATATAAACTAAATGTTTATCTCTAAAGTTTTAAACTCTTAAATATTATTTATTTATTTAAAAAATGCAACATTTTGTGTCGACAGCTGACAATTATTCAATGTTTTATTTAAATGTTTTTATTTTTTCTTTGTGCGCTTATAATGTCAATGTCCATATGAGTTTGTTTTTGTTATAAAAAAAACGGAAATGGATTTTAAGTTCATACAATATAATATTGAAAAAAAAAAAAAACTATATAATCCTTATGGAAAATAAAAACAAACTCCATATATGGAATCCAAATTGACCACATTGTTGAAAATGGAGAAAACAATATTGAAGGCACTTATACAGAAATCACATAAGTATTTAAACAGCCATTTTACAGCTCCAGGCAGAACTTTAGGTTTTTAAGGGGAACTACATAGAAAAGTAGCCTGTTTATTAAGTGTACCACGGGTGGTATAAGTAATATTAAATGCATTTAAATTTTTATTAAAAATAAAAATTACAGCAAAAGAAACTAACTTTTTTTTATTATGCAATTATTCAAGTTTTTATAATTATTTCCATATTGAAAAGAAAAAAAAAAAAAAAAACAAATAAAAGTTAGTATTTTTACTATTTCAAACACATATCGAAAGTTAAAATTACAATCCTTTGTTTTACCATTTCCTTTGTCTACGCATCTGTAGAAAATAACTTTTTAACTTACACACGCTCACACATTTGTATAAACACTAACATATGATTGAGTTTGTATCATTTAAATGTATGTGTAAATGTATTTAAAATATGATGTTTGAAAACTAGTCTAGACAGTGTGAAATCATATGGATTTCCTGGTGATGTGGTTATTTTTTTTTTGTTATAATTTATATATATTTATATGAACACATACATAAGTTTATGTATAAAATTTTTATTTATAAATTTAACACAGATTTAAAAGAGTTTTTAAGTAGTAATATGTATGAAGTGGACCGGAAATAAAGAAGGTCACAAAAACGATATGGATTTTCTGTTTAGATAGGATTTTAGCTTTGACTATAGACCAATCATTAGCTTCCGCTGTAGTCTTGACTATATACCACT